GAGGATCATCAGGGGGTCCTTTTGTCCCTCTGTGGGGGGACACTCCCACCAGGTTTATATCTGGGACTCTCCACCATTTGACCTTAGAACTGAAGAAGCCTCTCGGATGAGAGGTGAAACGTCTTCAAGTAACTTAAAGAAGTCCAGACGCTTTTCTTTGCAAGCTCCTTTGACCATTAAACACATTGTTTTCCACCAATTTTAACGTAATATAATAATTAGTTGAGTGAGATTTATAGAAACCTGCCTAAAGGAAAAACATCTCTGCGTGTATGGCGGAGGGGTGACATGTGAGCATTATAACAGGATGCGATGGTGAATTCTAATGAAGAGGATCAACCTTATCATGTGAATTCAATGAAGCAGAAAATGAATTGTTATGTAAGAGTACAAAAACCTGTTTTTTAAATTTCAATAATATTTCTGCCTAATCAAAACTTTTTGTCATCTGCTTTGACAACACTTTATAAAAACCATACTTTCTTTTTTACACAAAGAAAAGTTTGGTCCATGGGAATCTAAACAAACGGAGTACATCCTCTTTTAACTTGAGTCCAAACAGCTGTGAACAGGATGTCAAACATGTGCTATATTTTCAATGTGCTTTGGCAGCAGATTTTGCATTTTAACCAATGCAGGCCTCCCCTGAAATCAGCCCAATCATTATTGCCAGTCACATGTGACCACTCTCCACTTAGTTTCTACTCTCAATCCACAGAAGCCTTCGGTTTGCTGACAAAAAAAAACACTAAAATAATTCATAATAATGACATTCCTGTATGAGCCCCTTGTTCTTTTTCTATTATAAATTATGTTATGAGTAATTCAGTTTTCTTTGCTGAGGTTTTGAATATCCTGCTTCCAATTAAATGGGCCAGAATAATTTTATTTGTGAGGCCTAAAGCTGGAAAATTAGATTTGAGCAGCTCCAGAGTCCTTCTTTGTCCAGATAATCTGTCCGTCTTGCTGTGAGCAGTTTTCTCAAGAACCTTTTTATCACTGAAAACCAGTGGTGGAGGAAGTGGCTATCCTCGTCCTTTATGTAATACTTCAAGTAAAAATACTAATGCAACAAGTACTCAAAGCCATACACTAACAATGTTGCTTCATTAAAAACAACTGTAGAAGGATCAGACATTGTACTTATTATTTTCATTAACAACAAAGGTTATACAGATATGTATTTAAGCAATACTGGAGTTACTTTGTTATATCCACCCGTGCTGAAGACACAGTTTCTGTTTAAAGCCTCTTCAAGACCGAGCGTACACAGAGGTTCCTCTCTTCACTTCCTAGTATCAACAAGTGGTTGTAGCTCAGAGCAATCCTACAATTTTGCATCAACAAAGAATCCATTTTCAATTTAGAAAACATTCCACTGAGCCAGTGTGAAAAAATATCTGAGTGCCTCCCTTCACTCCTTTCCTCTTCCATAAATAAGTCTCCATTACATGCTTATTAGCATGTAAACAGTGCAGCATTTAATAAAGATAAGGAAGATTGTGCAAGAACTGGACTGACTCTTGGTCAACACAAGTCTGACATGTTAACTGTTAACAGCTGTTAGCTCATCTGCCCCATTAATGTAG